GGTGATTGTATCTTTGAGGTGACTTCTGCGAAATCTGCGCAAGTTTGCCGGATCTATGCCAGCTCCGCAACAGAAAGCCTGCTCAGCCTGACTTTTACACCATCATAAAGAGGCTATGCGCGCGCGCGTAATTCGCTTCGCTGACTTGTAGTTACCAGGAGAGATTAGTGCGCGAAGAGAAACTGTCAGAAAATTATTTTTAAACACATTTTGTTATTTGTGTTATCACGATCCACTTTTCTAATCTCAGACCGTCCCCCCCCCCGGGAATTTTCTCTGACCCGCAGGGGGTCATATGGTCCCCATTGAGAATGGCTGTTGTAGAGCATGCCAAAGATATGATTAGGTAAGTGTGCAATAGTTATCCGATTTTTGGTGTTGCCCTAGTGGGGGATTATGCCACAACTAAGATCGCAGATATGGTCTAAGGAATAAGTTAATGAGAAATATCGGTAAGACAGTAGGAAGGTAACTAAGAACCAGGGGCATAACAGATTCAATGCAGAATGACGTAGGATACGAAAGAACAAGTGAAATAATACGGTCATTCGTGGAACTGTCCCCCGTGGACCTGCTTCCATGCTAGTTATCCCCTCGTGAGGTTACGCGCACCTCTACGCCCCATCTGGTCATGTGTCGGAATGGTTTAAAAGGACGCTGGCCACTACCGATTTTATTCATCATTTGGGCAGATTTTTGGTGAGCTGGTTACTCAAGTCAGTCAGCCGAAAGCCTGATAGTGAAAAACAAATCGGCCTTTCTCAGGACACAAATCATTCATGTTTCCATTATACACACTTTCTGTTCAAGTTACCATCAGTAAACGGTTTTCCTCGTTTTGCTATCTTGTAAACTATTTTGTAACTTTTACGAGTGGCAATTTCACTTTCATTAAACTTTCTCGTCAAGAGTTTTCTCTCAGAGCGTTCTTACCCGAATATTTAGAGTATGCTAATAGGTGTTTCATAATGACGCCGCTGAAGATTGGGCTCCTTCAAAGCTGCTATACTTTCGCCACATATGACACAGCTGCATTCCAAGTCTTGTCTCTACGAAGAATTATGTCACTTCCCATTGGTCGTTGAAAACGCGACATTTTGCGCGTCCCCTTTCCTCCACTTAGTATCCATCAGAAGCGGTGCAGTTCACGTGAGCTGAAAATAAATAAATAAATATTTTATTCACGACAAAGCGAGGCACGCCCTCTGGGCATGAGCAGCATATTGCAATATTGTACATGATAGCATGATTAGCAGCACCAAGCGCGGGAATAGTACAGTTGGAGACAGTAGTGTGGGCCCATATGGCCCAAAGGTTGTACGAAGTCTATGCCCACAGAATGCGAGATGTAGAGATAAGAATCAGATCACTAATGTGCAGTATGTTGATGAGGAACTAGTCCGATTAGGTTGTGTACACAGTGGGTCAGGTTAATGAAGCGTGGGGAGAAAGCTGAAAAGATATTTAAAAATAGTGGCATGTCACTAATCAAATATGTAGGCGTGTTCGTACGAGAACAGATGTATGCACAGAATTTGTAAATGTGGTATCGGTCAACTCCCCAACGTGTGATTGGGGCGGTGACTTTATTGAGTGGCGAGTCACATCCGCCACGTCGTAGTGTTGTTAAACAGACATTTGTGGCTTTTTGTATGGAAAACGCTTGCCAGACGAAGACCCACCACGTCCTGGAACACTGAACTGGAAACACTAATTAGTATCCTACTAGAACACCTACAATGCAGAGAACTAGCGTCTGATTTGCACTTACGGCTCACCAAACATCCATGTGAAGCTCATATCATAACTTTTGTAGCGTACAATACATATATAACACAAGAGCCGTTACAAAATAGCTGAATTCGTCCGGCTGAAACGACCAGTTTGCGGCATTGTTTTTCAACTGCAGTTCCGACCGTTCCTCAGAAACAACTACCGTCCATCGGATTTATCACGAGCACTTCCCACGCGCACTTCGCCGTCTCGACAGTAAACGGATTTCTGACCTGTGTTGAAGCTCCTGTGTCATCTTCTCATTGTCTTTACCAGGTTCCACTTCTCACGAATGTCATGGGCTCGAAAATTATCACGAAAACGTGATATGCTCACCTTCACAAGAGGATTTTCTGCAGTTTACTAAGCCACAATATGGCTTGCCTATGTCACATGGGTCAATTTCATGCACACACACATGCACACTAACGTGCAAGCAGGTGAATGGGGTCAAACGGGTGTACAGGGTTAGAGAATGCGAAACGTAGTCGAACTTAAAGCGCGAAGTGCGGCGTGAGTGGTACCGTTCAATCGGCAACACGCAGAGTATCGCTCAATGTGTCGAAGCTGATAAGCGACATGAAGGGACCAAACATACCTGGGGTGTCTAGGTGATAATGCATGAACGTGTTCAAACAGAATGGGCATACAATGACTTGATCGAAAATGCATTAGTGCGAAGGCCGTAAACGCACGGCTAGGATGGCTGACGGCATCCGGTTTCGGACTTGCCTGTCACTGTGGCCAACCACAGCACGCCTGCGCCTACAGAAGGACCATGGATGGCTTGCGATGCACCACCCACAGCTCCATCCACACACCTCATATCCAATGTAAACCCAAAGGAATAAGACCTGGAGGCATGCGGATGGGAGCCAGATTTCATCAACGGAGCCGGCCCACACTCCTTCACAGGCAAACACAAGCACGCTGTATTTGGGGAATCAAGCGCACATAAGGCGGTGGCTGGACCGTAGTCCGCTCCACACTGAGTGCACTGAACCGCTCTTCGAGCCTAGCACGACCACAAGGACCGTGCACCCCGTCCCCTCCAGCAACGACCAACAGTCTCCTGGAGTCAGATGGACGAGGTAGTGGGTAATAGACATGTAGGCACCTTGTCAACATGCACATCAAGCGCAGCCACACCTGGGATGGCAAACATGAGCCAATCACTCAAAATGCCGATATCGAATAAAGTAATCGTACATGACAACATAAATACTCGTTAAATGAGCATATGGAAGCAGTTGGTTATAAGTGAATCCGTGATAAGTACAAAATGTTCGAGTTAGTTAAAATATTCCACGCGATACAGTTACACAAGTTTACCACAATTTGCATGAGCGACGTGTGCAAATTGGGAGAAGATTATCAAGTACGCAGAACAAACCAAATAAAATGTAACGAATTTTATCCACCTTAAAAAGACCTATTTTAAGTGTAAGTTGGTTTAGCCCAACTGCGTTGAAGAAGCACCATGAATGCAGCATCAGCCTCAGCATGGACACGGCTAGGATAGGCACGTGAATATGTTGTGTGTTCCATATCGAGTGTCTTTCGTGGGCCGTAGCTTGGTGACCTCTGCTCTAGAGGCAATCAAATATTCTATTTCCTTCATTGTCCACTTCAGTAAGAAGAGAAAGTGTCCACTGTGCCAAGGTTTAATTACCTTGAAGCTACCGTTTAAGGGAGATGATGTTGGCCAAACATTTCAACGGCGTTTGAAATCCACATTCGCACAAGTCTACCCCGCGGTGCAACCCGTGCTGACACACATAACGACGCGCATTCCCACACCTTCGGTTAAGCCGTCGCTACATCTGTCCAACCATTCACACATCGTTTACAAATTTGCATGTAATTGCAAGCCCACTTGCATAGGCCTGACGTGGCACCAGTTGCGGATGGGAATTGCGGGGCATATCCCATCGTAGGTCAGGAATTACCTTTCCAACCTAGCCCCGTCCACCACCCCAGGTGCGCAGCCAAGTGACGCAACCGTTCAGCTGTACAACATGGCTGCACTATCAATTACACGCCATCTGCTGACGAACAAACAGTCGACCCCCAAGCGCATGTTCTACACCTCAAACAACACTCATGTGCTGCGATACGTTGAAGCGGTCGCGGTCAAACCGCTTGATCCTAACCTGTGTGTGTAGTAGGACCCGTTCGTCACATTGGCTCTACCCTGCTAGAAAGCCAGTAGACAGACATCGAATTGACAAGTAGGCGTGTGCATATGCGTATATGTATATTGGTGAATTTGCTATCCACCTGTATTAAATTACATGATGGCATAAATTTGCATGTGTTCTGTAGTACGCACCTGACGATATGCAGAGAAAGGCGTCCGGAATTTAATCTTGAGGGGCTTTGGTGTTAACGCTTTTACTGAACATTTCGTCTGGAAGAAGTTGCTTTAACATATTTAAATGCTACATAAGAAATTACAGAAGAGTAGTAGGGGGAGTTGAATGTTATAGGTAGAAATTCGTCACATCTGGACTCACTCAGGCACACGCCCGGAAAAGCACTGTACGCACGTTTCATCCTTTCGGGAATCATCAGCAGTGCGCATTCCATCGGACCCTTGGTAGGGCTCGAACCCGCAACTCGACTGTTGCCAGTCCGTGTTTGAGACCACTGAGATACGGGGGACGGCAACGACCACAGTGAAAAACTTACTAGATGTGATATAGCGCCGCTCACTATCCACTGACTTACACGTTACTGCTGTGCAGAGGACAGGGTAGCCCCTCACCAAGCGACGAGCTTACCAAAGTTAAGCCGCCAAATAACTTATGGCATTAGCAGAAGTTTGGTCTGCGTACGGATTACAGAAGAATAGTAGGGGGAGTTGAATGTTATAGGTAGAGATACGTCACATCTAGACTCACTCAGACAGCCGCTACACGCCCGGAAAAGCACTGTACGGATAAGAAATTGACATTTTTGATTTATTCCGATGGAGTTCTACAGATCTAAACTTCTACTTCCTTCAACACTATAGTGTTCAGTATGCATCAAGATGTCCCGCGTTTTAGATCACGCATGTTCCCTAATTGACCTCTTCCTTCTCGAGCACATTGTCCCAGTGCAGGTGCTTTAGGTGTTTGGTTGTCCTTTTTCATCTTTGTAGCATTTTCTACCGAACAACTTGTTTACACAATATCCGCTAGTTGCTATACTCACTTTTACCTCCTGACATCTCGTCTTTCAAGGTCACGCACAAATTCGTTGAACTCAACGGGTTGCAAGTGATCTGCCGTGCCCATCAGTTGGTTCACGAGGGATACAAGGTGATGTTTGATGATCGCCTCATCACTATTTGGTCGGCTCCCAACTATTGTTACCGATGTGGGAACATTGCAGCTATCCTCGACTTCCGATCCGCTGACCACTACGAGGCGAAATTGTTTGACGCCGTGCCGGACGAGGAACGAGTCAAACCGCCTGCTCGCATAACTCCCTACTTTTTGTAACGAGGATCATTCTTCAACTCCTGGTTCTGCTGCAAATGTCGATTTCACGCCGTTCGGAACGCACACCGGCAATCGATTGAGTTCGGCCGAATTGCTTCGCTCTGCTTTGCATGATCTTATCCCGATCACCTTGTCCATAACCCATCCCCTGTGACTTTGCCCGTTTCACTGCCAATGGACTTTTGGACTAGGCTGTACATTTTACTGATCACTAATGGTAGTGTTTTTTTAATCCTCGCCTTGGCTGCTGTCCGCGCAAATGTTCTGTGTCCGATCCGTCTCTACTGTGACTCCGAGCGTTACTTGAGGCGTCCTACCGAGTATTCATACGATTTGTACAGCGTGCGAGCAGATGTTCTTGTCTACGGTGTCCTTGTCCACACGTTGTTTTGAGGATAACACAATGTTTTTCCTTAGGGGTATATAGAATTCCACTGAGGACCGTTCCACCACAAACATCAAATATCTCCATTAGTCAACGACCACCAATAGTCGCTTTTGAGCTGGAAATATAACGAAGTCGCTAACACTTACGTCGCTTCGTAGCGACAACTTTCGGACTAGTAGGCTGACAGTCCAACTTAGAAGCGATCCTGTCGCACATCCTAGGTATTCGTTGCCAATAATCGACCCGATGATTGTGTTCCTATGTCGGGTAGCCCACGTTAGGCACCCTGGATGACCGTTTTCATTTGGATAGAGTTTGAGCCACTCGTGGGAAAATACGTGGTGGAGTGATTCGGGCGCCTGGCTTGAAACATCTGCGCGCCAAGTTCGAGTCTGTAGGCCCGTAGCCCTAAGGATCACAGACCTGCCTTTTAATCCGACGGCGTAGGTCCCAGCCTGCGTATGGGCATGACGACCCTCGCCGACCTGCGACTGGTGGTGGTTGCGCGACAACGAGGCGTCGATACTGCATACCGGCGTACTGCTGATGCCTACTTTTCAAGTTTGAGTCTCAGCTTTTGCATGCGTTTTGCACCACGGTAGGATCCTATCCCGCACACAACGGCTTGCTGATGTATGTCGGTTAACCATCCGTACAAAGCGTATGTGTAATGCTGATCCAGCTCTCGCTCATAGTCTAAAGGCTCACAATAGTCTTTGGCCTTATTTTATCATCCAATTTTCTATGAATCAGGCTTTTATTATTGCGCATTCATGATGAATTTCTAAAGACCGTCTCGGTATTTCGATTTGGGTTACATGAATGTCCTGTATCCCTTTTTTGGGATTTGCAACAATTGACTATTTAATACCCTGCACACAGTGGGCGTGGGCCTTTTGACAAACACGTTTTGTGGTCCTACTTCTCTGCTTACAGCTTCTTTCCTTTTCGCCTTCATCCACTTGTTGTGGCACTCAGCAAGCGACATATTTGTATACACTTTCTACTGTTTTGTCATTGCTATTACTATAGACAAAGTTTATCCGCCATCTGCTTAACTACTCCCAGATACAGCTTTTATGTTACCGTAGTTTTCTTCATTCACATCTGCGTGAGGGGACAAAATTCGCAATTGACTCATACGATGTTCAACATTTATCGGAACACGATCTGACCGAAAAGTTGAATAAGAAACAGGGGATTTACTGTGATAGCCTCACTGAGTCCCCGACTGTAGCGTTTCATAGCGGGTCCAGTACTGTTGTAGTGGCTCTCACACAGTTTGAATGCGCGCGCTTACATTGTGCATTTCCTCTGCATACCTTCGCTGCCTCATCAGGTCAGAGGTAAGCGGAGCCAATGTCCAGATACGAGGTCGCGTACAGGAGCACGTGATCTGTCTGCTGCATGCGAAGGTTACCAGCACGAGCGTTGAACGACCTCATACTGTTTTGCCAAATTTGGGAATCGGGTGCAAACTGATTGGCCAGCAAATACAAGCCCGGGTCAACGGAGGCGAACCATTCTGCCAAATATGGAAAATCCTTGGGACGAAATTAACTCACATTGGCTGAGAACCAAACGCTTCCAAAATTAGTATGTTTCGTTCACCAATAAATAGAACTGACCTATCGTGTAGAATAGACTCCCTGTTTACCGAGCCTTGACCTTCTGTATCCCGTCGGTTGGTTGGCCGCGTGACTGAGCATTCCGGTGGTCGTAGTCTCGCAGACGCAAAATAGCAGCAGTACGAAGGCATCTTTACAACAGTATCACTGACAGCCGCTTAATGTCTTCCGACCAAATAGGCCAAGTCTCACAGCCGTACAAGTGTACCGCATGCACGAAAGCATTGTACACCCTGCCCGTGAGCTTGAGACTGACATCACGACAACGCCATAGGTGTCTCAGTTTGGTGAATGCAACGCGGGCCTTTGCACTGCGTTGTGAGACTTCATCTCCAACACCGTCACCAGCCGTGATGCAGCTCCCTAGATAAGTAAAGTAAGGGACTTGCTCCTGGACGTGTCCAAGAATGGTGAGCGCGGGTTCAGGCACCTGCCAGTCCTGGAACAGCTTTCTACATTTTCTTGGAGTGAAGCATAAGCCGCACTTAGACGCCTCCATCAGTAAGCGGTCCAAATCGCTCTGGACGGTTTATGGATCCTCCCCCCAGCAAGAAGATATCATCGGCTTAGTTCAAGCCCGTGACTCTGTCTCCAGGGAGGACCTCAACACCGGAGTTCTGGACACCTACTAGTGCTCTATGGACAACATCCTCAATTGCGAAATTGAAGAGGCAAGGTGAGGTAGTGCAACTCTGACGAACACCGCTGGTCACAGCAACGAAGAGAGCTTGCCATAAGCCCTGACGTATGACTGAAGTTCTTTCAGGATGGTTACAAACTTATCGGGCACACCTTTCTTCAGTAAACGGTCCAACAACACAGATCTATCTAGTGAATCAAACGCCGCTCTGATGTCCAAGAGCACTGCGGTTGTTGGTCGCCGGTGGATGTGACGAAGTTCGAGAAGTTGGCGAAGCGTGAAGATTTGGTTGATGCCGTCGCGGCCTGGACGAAATCCGACTTCTTCTTGGGAAGACTCTAGTCGTTGAAAATCTGCGAAGGACGGACAGGAAAATTTTGGATGCGACAGAGGTTAACGCGATCCCGCGGTAGTTGTATCAATCGGAGCGGGAACCTTTCTTGTAAGTCGGAACAATGACCGATTCTCCCCAAGAGTTCGGAAACTTCTCCTCAGTCCAAACTTTTGTGAACAGTGATAGGACTTCGCTGACAAGTACACTCCCGCCGTCTTTGAACAGAGCCGGTGGTGGCTGTCAGGATCAGGAGCCTTGTGGTGTTCCAAAGTTTAGATTGCATCTCGGATCTCTGCTTAATTGGGGGGGGGGGCTGTATAGACAGGCCAAGCATCATCCATTGGGGCTGGAGGTGCCACAGGGGGCTGAGTTTGGTGGTTGAATTGAAGAGCAAAATGTTCTGCCTAGCGACCCAATCGCCTGTGAAGGTTGGTGATCTTCGTGCCTTTTGGTTCGCAAATCGTCTGGCTGCTGGCGTGGGAATTGTAACCTGTGGTCCTGATGATGCAAAATAGACAGTGGAAGTTGCCAGCTGTTGCAGCGGTTTCCATCATATCAGCTTGTTTTGACCACCAAAATTCACGACCAGAGCGCAGGCTTGCTTTCAGCTATTGCGTAGTAGACCGGCGATGTTTGTTGTACTCTGCGCCAGTAGGCATCACCACTCGGCAATCCAGCGATTCCGAGGATCTTCCCGAGATCCAGCTTTTGGGAGTGGAACGAGCGAGGCCACAGGTTGGCCAACCGGCCGACAGCGAGGCTTGTTGCAGACTTGATCAGTGTTGATCAACATCCAGAGTGTGAGAGAGAGTGGGATTTTCACGAAGCCTTTGCTGATACTTCTTCTTCCCCACTGGGTCCTCCAACTTGTAGGTTTTGTGTATGTAACCATCGAAAGTTATTCCGGCTGATACGGGAAAAGGGCAGCAGAAGACCTGATGTTAGTGAAACTATACGTGACGAGAGTGGCAGCCCATCCACGACTTGTCGAAACGTTTGGAGCGTTGGGCTGAGCACTTTGAAAGGCAATTTAATCGGCCGGAATTGTTAGATTTTTCGCCGGCCACTGATCGCAGCGCTCCGTGTGCTGTCCCTTTGGATCCACCCTCTCGCTCAGAAGTTGAACGTGAGGTCGGACTGTTGCAGTTCAATAATGCCGCGGGACCAGATGATGTATCTCCAGTCCTTTTCTAATTCGGGTACATGCTCTTGGGTGATTTATACGAGTTACTGGTGAAACTGGGAACAGGAAATTGTCCCAACCGACTGGAGCCGCTCCGCCATAGTCTCAGTTTTCAAGGGAGGCACACGATCGGAATGCGGCTACCATAGAGGAATCAGTCTGATCTCCATCGCCTCCAAATTGCTTGCCTCTGTCATCCTTCACAGACTAACTGCCACTTGTGAAAGGCATATTCGTGTAGAGCAAGCCGGGTTTTGTCGGGGTACTGGCTATGTTGACCACATCTTTATTTTGCGTCAGTTGTTGGAGCACCGTCACACATATTGGCGACGCACCGTAGTCGTGTTCCTCGACATGAAAGATGCCGTCGATTCGGTTGATCGGTGTGCACTTTGGGACTGTGTACTCAGGAAAGGTGTACCTGAGAAATATGCAAATATTATCCGAGCATTATACGCGCGTAGCTCAGGCAGAGTGAGGGCTTATAACAAGCTGTCACCGCGGTGTGAGACGAGGATGCCCGCTGTCATCCTTCCACTTTAACTTCGCTATTGACGAAGTCATGGAAATCGCGTTCACAGGACACGACTTAGGTGTGAATCTGCTCCCAGTAGAACGACTTCTTGACTTGGAGTATGCTAAAGATATTACCCTAATCTGTGACATCTCCCAGACCTGCTAAGCGGCACTGTACAGATTAGCACTGTCTGTCAGCCGCTTCGGGCTTTGTCTATATATATATATATATATATATATATATATATATATATATATATATATATATATATATATATATATATATATATATATATGGTTGGCGGCATCCGGTTTCGGATTTGCCTGTCACTGTGGCTAGCCACAGGACGCCTGCGCCTACAGAGGGACCATGCGTGGCGTGCGCTGCACCACCCACAGCTCCAACCACACACCCCAAATCCAGTGTAAACCCGAAGGAATAAGACCGGGAGGTATGCGGATGGGAGCCACGTTTCATCAACGGAGCCGGCCCACACTCCTTCACAGGCAAACACAAGCACACTGTGTTTGGGAATCAAGCTCACACA